TTTATAATAAATTTACTAATATGTATAAATACTTTTATAATATTTATTAATAAGATAAATTTACTTTAATTTAACTTGCGGTAACGACAGATAACGATTGGATATGGCGCGACATAAGAAGCGTGCAAATTTAATTATTCAAAACGTAAGGAGTATATGAAAATTTTTAGAACGCAGCAAGCGCGAGTACAACTCGTAAATTATCGTATCTCGTGCAATATAGGCGAGTGAATAAAAAGAATAAAGGAGCTATGATTATTTTTTTCTGCATCCACTTAGATTACATATCGAGTGATAATATAAATGCTAATCTGAAGATGGATATCTTTCACTATATTGTTATCACACTGTGAAGCAATTTCCTTGGGAACAAAGCGGCATATAACGCGCGAAAAAGGAAAAAAAACTATATATCTTCAGCGAGTATCTCGTCATATCTCCTAATCTTTTGTCTCTGGAAGCGTGTCTATCGTCACCTACCGTGACCTACCGTTTATCTACAGTGACATATTTTCGAGCTGGGTTTCCGTAGTCCGTGCGAGAGCATTTGTTTCCAGAATAGCCCGCGCCGCTCGCATAGCGGGTGTTTTTGTCCTTCGCCGGGTGACGTAATCGTCGCTCATTTCGCGTCTAATTAGCGCGGGGATTAGCCTCGAAACGGTCGTAAAATGTCGCGCAATGCGTACAAGAGCCGCATGTACCATTTTATTCGTTTCGCGTCTCTCGTCACGGTCTCTCCCGAAAATGTAATAACGGTTATCATCGAAATCGCCATATCACGGGAAAATTTAATTACTTTTTACCAGCTATTGTCGAAACGAGACGGAGGGAGCTCGAAACTAAAGCTGGGAGCGCACTGGGAGATAATAGAAGAAAGCAAGCGTGCTCGTGCGCGACCTGAATACAAATATGCCTGAAAGAAGAGGTAGAAGGTGATCGGCCGCAACGTTTTGTTGCGGCTGGAAAATTCAGGTTTGCCAAGTGAAATCGGACGGTAACCGTCGTAGGATACAATATGTATACATACGCGAACGTGTTTGTAATAACGACGCGACCTCCCTCATCATCGCGAAAAATTATAAATGACAACGTACAGAGAAAGGGATGCGCAAATTACAAAATGGTTTTATTGATCGTAAGTAATTCAGCTCTGTAATATCTTTTACGATCCAATATTTACTGCGCACACATTATATCACATTTGCAAACACACGCGGTATATTTCTTCACTTAATAACTGGAAATCGCTCATTTTACTGTAAATTCCCTGTATTTATCGTGATAAAACAATAACCTTAATTGAATGGATTACGGGTCGGGCATTTTACAGAATTACGAAAGATATTTCGCAAGGAGCGCTTTAAAAATCCACAAAAAAACCAGGGGGGGGAGAACGGGAGAGAGCTTGACGCATCAATTTGTTAATAGCTATGGGAATTTCCGCGTAAAAAGCAACGGGAAATTCTGTTTCTATGGTCAGCCGAGCCGAAACGATATCCGCTATATAGTGTTTTAGCGTTTTAGTCGAATGAAACAAATGAACGCATATCTACGTGACGTTGAAAGATGTTGTCGTGCGAAAATTATTGCGGGTTAACGAAGGGATGCCGGCCTTCTTCCCCGTTTCTCCCACCCGCTTTAAAAGTCTTATTTCTCCTTCCCGCGTTCGCCGTGGCCTACTTCCAAATAACAAACACGCTGCGCGCAAAGCAGCGTGGATGGTAGAGCTGCGGCGTGTGGTGGTAACGATCGCGGGTCATTAGCAATGCTAATGCACCTTTCGACTGATGAGGCGGCGTAATGCTTTTGGTCGGCCCGTGGGCCGAGCTCTCTCCTACCTCTCGTACATTTCTCGAGAAGACTACTTTAGAGTACCTCACGCTCTAAGGGATAGCTGGTCGATTCGTCGGTTGGCTGCCGTAAATTGTTATACCTTACAGACTATTGACTTCCTATTAAGATCGCACTCTCCATCTATTTTTGAAAAAAACCGGAGCTGAACGAAGTATCGTATCGTTTTCTCAATTAAATCACTCGATAAACTTATAATGAGATAAAATATTTATAGTAAAAATGTGATATTGTTAATAGTTCCATATCGTCACATTTTTTTTATTTTACATGCAGTTTAACTGTAAAAAGTCTGATGTTATGTTTATAATATCAAGTTTTATATTCTTTATGCACGGAATATATTTTTGGAAATAGGGAAAAAATGAGTCACTATCGCAATGCCGTTAAATTTTATTATTTTAAACTAATGATATACTTTCATCATCACACTTCTAGTTTTTTTCTTTGAATCATCAACGTTGCAATAAGCTATTTTATTTATAAAGACAGTGTTTGATGATAGATTGAAGTTAATACTACAAGGCAGTAAGCCATACAGTAAATTGCAATCACAAAATTTTCCAATATTTCTAGCAAACTCGTTACGTTCAGAAACCTGTAGAAGTTTTCTGATTAAGTACTTTCTGAGCAATGCGCATTATCGAATGTACGTTTACGTTTCTTTGTTTAACAACGGGGCAGTTCTACATTTCTACACGATGAATCTTATAGGTTCGAAGAAGGCACGTAAGGGAATTTTTACGGCTCCCGGTACGCCGTTTCTTTTATTTTTACGTTCAACTTACGGAGCATCTGGAAACGTTGATGGCGCAATTAACGGGCGGAAGTGCTGCAACATGGTCAATATTGTACCTACTGCCAACAGAAGTCACTTCTCGAAATAACGAAATAATGAAAACGATCCTATTATATAGAATCTCCGAAATAATATTTATATTTTTAAATATTCAAATAAAACAGAATTCGATAAAGTTTCTGTTTTCATTGTAGATATTAATAATAAAATACTACAATAATAAAATGCATTATATCTGAATTAGCGAAATTCAGGTTATTTTATCTCAGAAATTATATTACATTCGGTTTGGAATTTATCATGAATTGAGATAAATAGAAAATGCCGACTACGAATAAACGTGAAGAGAGGAGGAAGCGTTATTATCGATGTGTAACCGGGCAAATAACGATAAAAAGAAATTTCGATAAATCAAGCGTGATTCACAGCAAATGACTTATGCATTTGTATTGTAAAACAATCCGCTCTATTTAAATATATAGTCGCGTGCATTTACTGCAGCAATTAACGCTATTATGGAAATTCCGAATTTCTGTGCACCTTTTATCTTGAGCACGATTTTGCTGACAATAAATCACGAATGGACGTCAAATAAACAGCGTTTTCTCAAGCTATCGCGAAATTGGTTGCGAAAGTAAGCAGCGGTGACTTCATTTAAAGAAACGAAACCTGCGTGCTCGTCGAACCGCGTAACTAAGTACGGACTGCGACGGATTGCTACGCAAGATTACGGAGGGCATTCTTGCTAAAGCCAGGACATTGTTAACAGTATTGCTACCTAATTAACCGCAAACGCTTTCAGTGGATTTCGCCTGGTCTATTGTTTACATGCGGGCATGCCGCCTATATGTATGGCAGTCCTCCATGACTGAACCAGCTGAAATATTTCCATGGAGATTCTCTCTCCCTTTGTGACACAACCGTGCGTGTAGGATATACGTATATACGTATTTCAATGGATTTCCGAGGCGTGTGTTCGTGACGCGTGTCGGAACTAACACCTGATAATAACGCGATCGTGTCTCTTATAAGCTTCGTCACTCGCTTCGTACATCGCGCGGAGTTTCGTTCTAAGATTTAATTAACGATGATGCCAATATGCCTCGCGAAATTCTTGACGAAAGATATATTTCCGGAATTTAATTTAGCATCAGGCTCGTTGTCGGAGCAACCAGCTTTGAAAAGCCAGAAAAGTGAGAGTTAAGATGTTGTGACACATCAGAATACGCTTTGTGCATCCGATAATTTCTGCGTATTCCATGGGTTATGTTTCTACTTTTTTGTAGCACATCAGGAAGACTAAAAGAACATTCTCACAAATTTTTATCCACTTGGTAGCGCTTTGAAAATAGGTCCGATACATCCTTAATTCGCGTTATACTCATTTAAAAACTAAAATGATAAAGATGTCCAGATATAGATCTTAGGTAAGTGTCCTAGTAAATGTACCATTGATACATTTACCTTATTTTAAATTTTAGAAATATTACGAGCTTCATGAATATATCTCAAAATAAAGCATTAAAGTTTCTATTAAAACCGGAAATTGATATGAAATTATAAGTACAGAATGTCTTTTCTATTGGAAACGGAAATTGATATAGAATTATAACTATAAAACTATTGTAATTATTAATGCTTTATCTTTTTTTAAATTTGTACATAAATCTTTTATGGTTACAATTTCTCTCCCCAGAATCTATTAACCACCAGTCTCTTCCCCCCTTCCACGAGCTTCAAGAGCCCTGAAAAAATTACTTCCATTTTCTTCTGTCCACAAGAAGCTGTTATCGCGATAAAAGCTTCGCTGCAAAATAAGTTATTCATAATCAATACCGCGTGAACCTCGGACGAGGTAGCGTGATCAGATTCAAAGATCGCCCGTAAATCAATCGCCGCGTCATTAATTTACACGCAGGCGGCCGTTGATCTTGAAAGGAAACCGGGACAGGACTCATTAATTATATCATCCACATAATAAATCCACGATAATCAAGATATATATATATATATATATATCTTGATATATATATATATATATATATATATATATATATATAATATATGTATACACGAAAAGAAGGTACAGTGTAAGTGATATATTCGAATGGAAGATACATATATCTTCTATTCGGATATGACTCACCCTGCCTTCTTCTCGATGCGTGCGAGGCACTCGCCACAACTCGCGGCTAGAAAAGCATAACGGGAAAGTGCTCGTGCGTTTGTCACGCGAGCATATATATACGTCGCGTCTATCACGTGTGCGTTTCTCGCGTGTCTTCACGCGACGTACTTCCCTCAAGAGCGTTCGTAATAACTCGACTAATCTAATTCCTCGGTTTCTCAGGCTACGACAAGACAAGGGCGGTGGCGCTTGGTGCCCGAGAAATATGGTAACCAAGGAAGGCAAGGAATACCTGGAGGTGAACCTGCACACCCCGCGTTTACTGACGTCCACCAAGACGCAGGGCAGATTCGGCAACGGCAACGGGGTCGAGTACACCGAGGAGTACTTTGTCGAGTATTGGCGGCCAGGGTTCAACAAGTGGGTGCGATGGAGGAATCGACGTGGCGTAGAGGTAGGTACCGTCTAGCTAGGTCATCGATCGAATCGCGCCCGAGATTTCTTTCCCGGATATCGTAAGCCCGAATTGACTCCACATCTGCTGATATTAGGTGATTTCACAAATTTCTCCATCGATATTATTTATGTGTTTTACGAATATTTGGATTTACTTGACGAGAATACGTACTTTTTATCGAACAAACTAATAATGAATTTATCATTTAAATCGGACAATTAATAATAAATTTGCCAATGAAAAAAATTACTAAATTACTCGGTTTTTAATAACACATGTATATATGTAAATAATATTACGCCAATTTTAAATTTGTACAACATTTAACTGTTATATTATTACATCCACAAGATTTTGCAAGAATGTATATTTTGATTAATTTGCATATAAAAATCTTCGCAGAAAAATTACTTTCTCCTTCTTCGATATTTTCATTTTTGCGGAATAATTATGTTTTCATTTTGCGCAACAAGATTCGTTATTGCAATTCATTTCGATGCACGATACTGCAAAAAATCATCACACTTTTCAATTGAATTTCATTTTAAGTTCACGGCGGTATGCCGAAATTCGATTCTTTTTGACGCCTCGCGTGGGTTTTATGCAGGCGTTATACGGTCGGAATTGAAGATGAAATATCGGAAAATCGTAGAACGAAATTTATTTTCTGCCAATAAATCTCGTCATTTCATGTCACATTGTAAAGACGGATTGCCCGATATATAGCGTTCAATGCAGCTTGCGCAGTACTAATCTTACGTATATATATCATTTTGCTAATCTCCATTTGCCGTCACATGCGAAGCTCTTTTAGTTATAATGGAATATCTGGCCGACTCCCTTACTTATAATTACTACATATAGCTAAATATTAATGTCCTTATTTCACTTTATACATATGCTACATATGTTGAGGGGAAATTAGCAGATTCCGTACGCGAAACGGCTCGATTTCCTGGATTTAACTCAAATTCCCCCTCCTGACTTATTCAGCATAGTAAGTTACGAATTGATAAAGCTATACTGCCGTCTGCTTTTAATCCGACATATAAACTTAAAATATGTGATCCCTATATTTACAACGTACTACAATCATTTCATATCTTGATAAGTTTCGATTAGAAAATAATCTCACAAAAGGATTTTCTTGAATATACGCTCTAAGATTCTCTGTTTACAGATTTTTATTTACCTATCGATCCAATAACCATATGTATTAACAATATATACATGGCAATTTTAGCATGATTCTATACACAAAAGCGCGAATTTAGAAGTTCCTATTTTAGTAAATGCATTAAGTAGAAATGCGACCGTTTAGCCCGACAGACTTTCGAAGCATATTCCGTAATTTATGCTTTCAAAATCTTCGAGATTATCTCGGATATTTACTACATCCTTTCGTAAAGAGAGTTGCTTTTATATTAATTATATTGCTTCTTATATTATATTAACCTAATTTATCGATTTAATATACAATTAATCAATTAATAATTCTCAAATAATTGAAAAATGAATAATAATCAACGTCTAATTGTAAATTATTTTATGAATATTATAATATAAGAGTGCAAAAATTTTATATACAAAATATACCTCTTAATTACTTTACTATTCTTATAACATTTGCATTGCGTATAGATCGTCATCTGAAATCAGTGAAGTTTTTGTCGAAAATATCACACGTGTGGAATTGTAAGACTTATTTTAGTGGCATTTACACCATTAGTGTTAATTTCCGTTCTCCTTTTACCTAGGAAACGCCGTGCACGATACGGGTATTGCATATATGAGAACCTCTGTCCCGGTTGAACGGCCATTACTGGATGCGACGTGTTAATTAACGTCTCTTTAGCATGATAATCCGTACGCGATATCCATTAGCCCGTCAAAATACATCACGGCGGTTAAGCGATTTGCTTGTGGCAACGAAACTACGCAAATTCCACGGACGTAATCTTAAAGTCTTAAATTCATGTTGGATAAGTGTGTTTCGCGTGAACGGTTTTGATTTTCACTTTATCTCGTAAAACATATGTATTGTTGAAGAATTGAAAGCTAATCGATACAACAAGTCGTAATCTTCATTACGCTCTACGATATGTAAAAAAAAAACATAGAAAAGTACGCATTCTCTCTCTAAGGATTTCGATGGTAAAATGACTTGTGAATTAGTCACAAAGCCAGAAGAAATTTCGCACTGAATCGATCAAACAGCATAATTGAAGACGGAAAATCGGTAGTTAAAGCTATTCTATCGGACATCGAGTGCTGCTGCAGCTCTATTATCCTACGAGCCATAAGCTGCCATGGTAAATGGAATTTTAATGGATGCACAATAAAGCGAGTGCATTTATTCCGCTTACCGAAACAGCGGCGGTAAGTCATAATCAATCGTAACGAGGGCGGTTCATTTTTCAAATACTATTGGTAGAGATGCGCGTTCTCCACCATGCTCACTACACTACTACATTTTTATTCCATTATGCGGAAGGTACACGCGCGCAAACTTATTAATAATAACGTAGGATCATTGGAGTTCCGTGATCGAGCGAGAAAATGCTGCCTTGCCATGCTGGGTTCTCCCTAGTCTACAATAAAATCCACTGTCGGCTCTTCCTTCCATTTCTGGATAATAGAATCCGAAATCTTGTTTCTAACTATGTTGATTCTCCCATTCATGATTCTTTATAAGATATCTTTATTTGCTTTTGCCGTAATCATTTTCTTGAATTTTCGCGCGCGCGCTTCATCGTCCGACGCTCTATCTTTCCACGAACATTATTCAATGCCCGCGTTATGATATTACCACGTATAAGTGTTAAAATTCACTCGCTCACGCGAATTTATCGCGCTTCATCGCAAATTGCCGGTCGTAATAGAAAAAAGATTACCTGAAGCGCTGGGATTTTTCAGTATTTACCTCGGCATCCGCAATATATTTCCTTCAAGAACTAATTTCGTCCGGGAAAGAGAGAGAGAGAGAGAGAGAGGGGGGTGGGCAACGGCTACGAGAGACTTATTACCTAGCTGCCTTACGGTCTCCCGATAAATAGAAAATCAAGAATCTCATCGGTAACGAACTTACTTCGATAGACTATCATAACTCACCTCCGGCTGGTACTCGTCGGAGGGTCGTCTGGCCCCGCAGGAAAAGCTCCGTGACGCGGAAGTAATTTTCAACTCCGAACCGTGTCCTATCGTGGATGGCGAAGTCTCGTTATTCGACCCCGGCCGTCATCAGAAGGGCTCTGATATTCGCCATAGTTATCTCTCACTAATCTTTCTCTCTTTCTCTCTCTCTCTCTCTCTCTCTCTCTTTCTCTCTCCCTTTCTCTATTTCTCATTCGGGTCCTTGCTCGTGCCACATGCACGCGTGCACGTATAGGCATGGCACACATTCAACGTACACACTTTTCGCTCTTTCTCTCCCCAGCGCGGTTCGTACTAGACGTTCTTCCCATTTTCACGCAGATTTGCTCAAAGCGAGAGAACAAGCCGGAGATCCGAGAAGGCGGAGGAGAGACAGAACGCCCGGAAGCAAAAGCGGGGAACACGAACGTTTACCCTGCAGCCTCAATCTGGGCGGCATGTGATCTTTGTGCACGCGCGCTTCTTCTTTTTGCTCCTTACACTTTGAATACGGGCGGGGAAAACGAACATTCGAGACTTGAATGAGGAAACGAAAGGAGATGAGCGCGAACATCGAGAGGAGAAGAAAGAGAAAGCGAGAGAGAGAGAGACGAAGAGAGGAATATACGAAGAGCGACTACGTTATCGCGCCATTGTACGTGACCCGAGCTCTCCGGAGGCATTTTTCCACGGCAGACATAGTCGCTGTTCTTACGTCTCAGACGAAACACGTAACGCGAAAAAGGGTTTTCCGGTATTCGATGAAGCACTTGCTCGTTTTGTCGCAGTGAAGATCAAGTGAAATTAATGCAAAAATACACGTGACAGTTAGAAATCGATGAGAGTGATGTGATTGTCACGTACGCTCTAACAAGAGAACGGCGAATAATGCGTCATGGATGACACGCATGTCTGATGTCGCGTCATGCGTGTGATCTCTGCAAAAATTTAAAGAACAATACTGTAGAGTTTGCGTCTCCGGATAATCCGCGACTATGTAATTATTCGTACAATCGTGCGGACGTGGCACGATAAATACGATGAATAATACAGAAAAGTCTGGCATAGGAGCGTGATATATTTCTACGTTCGCCGAGCTGACGCGTGCAACGAACCAGTTACATTTTTACACCAAAAAAAGCGGGCGACGGTCACCGGCTGCGACGTTAAATAACGTCCAATAACGTAACAAAAATATAGAGCGTAAGCGCGCGTGTGCGCGCGTGTGTGTGTGTGTGTGTGTGTGTGTTGTGCGAGAGGGAGATTATGACTCGCTTCTTATGAGGTGCACGCGAATTAAGCCGGACAGGCCGGGCTCATCTAAATTCACGAAACGCCGGAGAGTAGCCGGATCCCGGGCTGCTGGATGCAACCTGATGGAAACGGAGCGGAATACAGCATGCCAGCCCAGCTAGCGCCTCTCCCTTTTACGTTCGGACGGCCGCTGTCGTGCCTGCGGCGGGACAATTGCCAACGGTGGACGTGTTTCATTAACGCCGACACACCGGCACGGACGAGGCTTTGTGAGAGAGGTACACCCATGGTAACTCGTATACGTCTTCCCCTGTAATACGAGCAGTCCTCGCTGCGGCTCTTGAACATACCTACCTGTCGCGGCGCAGCTAAATGAATTTGTTTATTCTTTCACGGTAGAATTATATTTTTTTCCTCACATTTTCAAACTTTTATATTATCCGGTTTACCTTTTTATGGAAAGCTTTCGGTATTTCTTAAGATTGGAACAGCGCCAATAAACTGTTTTTAAATCTGGTTTTTAAATCAACTATAAAACTCGAAATTAAACAAACTTTTTAATTTTTAGTTGGTCTCTTACATAAAAACAGATATTAATGTTTTTAAAATTT